TATATATATATATATATATATGTATATATATATATAAATGTATATGTAGGTATATATTGTTTATATTCGTATGTGTCTATATGTTTTGTTTATATTCAATAAGTGATCGCCGAGTGTAACCTTTTATTCTGGCCTGAATGTAGTTTGAACGTAGGATGGAGGTTTCCGTTAAAGGCGATATGTTGAATCAACGTGACGAACACTTATAAGTACATTTGCCTATAAGACTAAAACTTGTATGCGTTGGCTCCAAGTACCATAATTCCTCGCGCACTCATAGAGGTGCACGCAATCTCTCACATTTGTTCTATTTGTGTCGTCGTATATCTTGTAGTATCCCGTTGCAGGCATACAATCTTATACTGATATATTCGAATGATGTGCCAGAATTATACACCTTTGCAAAAAAAGCGCTCTTTGTAATTGAAAAGATGCATGTAGAACTGCAACTGGTGAGGATGAAATCAGAGATGGACGATGAATAACATAGCCATACCTGATAATTTGCATTTCGATCACTATACACAGTACAAGAAAATTTGTTTTGTTAGAATTGATACACGTTTGTATAGTCATTGACCCGAATCCACCACATCACAAGTGTCTATATATAGGTGTGAGTAAGCATGCACCTTCCAAGCTGGTAAGTCGTTTAAGTGTTACTAGAATACACACTATGCAATATATACAATTGTTCCTGTACGAACGTTTCCCACTACTTACAATATCCGTTTAGCGTATGCTGCTTTATGCTCATCGGCACTGCCTAGTTCTCTGTGTTTGAAAGTTGTATACCATCTCCCCGTATATACCTACTCCGTTCCGGAGGACTCCCAATTTTTCCAAAGAGTAGATGGAGTCGACTCCTAAAATGTACACACTTCTGTCCACCCTAGGGGACAGTGCTGGGATGGAGCGCTACACGCAGCTTCAAACCACAGTACACACAAACTATACCTCAGCTCTCAGTGTATATCCTGGCGGGTCGTCTTACTGCTCTCATGAATCTCATGAGTCGGCGAAGTGTCACGCGATGTCAAGCCACTCCACAGACTGCACGGAGACGAATCACGAGTACAGGACGAGCGAACCTTTGCCACAGAGAAACGGTACACTATGCACACTACACCGTCATATGATAGTGTGCAATGCAATGTTAGAAAGGGTCCTGGGTCTTCCAGGGGATCTGCGTGCTCTGGTGGTGGAGCAGATGCCCGCGTGTGGACTGCTGCTGTTGGAACGGCACAGCCGTTACTGCAATGTGGTATGTCGGATGTGTTGATACAGAAGGGTCTGGAAGTGAAGTAGTAAACTACCAAAGCAATACGGCATATACAGTCCTTGCTACAGCTTGGAACAGTTAAAAAGATTCTGCACGTAAACTTACGATCATGCACACCCGGGTCGTTGTAGACACAGCAGTATTGTCGTCTATGAGGCTATGTGTACGTGAAGTGGTTCGCCTTGTGATAAAACGTTACAACGTATTTAATAAAAGCGAAGTGGTGTGCGGTATAAGGCACGGCAATGACGGGAGTGGTTAGTGAGTGCATGGCTGCAAATCCTTAAATCCGTTCGAAACAGGCCTTGCAATTTCTATTTTTCGCATCTTGGCTGAACCCGCGAGCCGCTAACCGGAGTCTAGTCAGTTTCATTTCTATCTTCTATGAGTATGTGTTTATAAAGATCTGGGCCATTCTCTGACAGACTTCGATAAGCATGTGGGTTCAATTTTCTCTACATTCGTATCTGCATGTGTGTATTTTTGTGTGCAGGAGATAAACTTGGAGTCTGCCTGGGAACGTCTCGGCCACAAGCATTTCTCCAATCAATTCTCAACGTGGTTGGCTGAATCAGGCAGGTAGGTATATAAAAAAAATATTGGAAATACTATAT